CAAGTCACTGGTGGCTTCTGGACCCCATTCCAACCGGTATGGTTGGAACAGGCCCGGCGGCGTCCACATGGACACGTGCAACGCGCACATGTGTCTTAGTGTCTCCGCGAGCCCCTGCAACGCTCCAGCTGCTTAGAGGAGTGTCGCGCAGGCACTGCACATGCGCGGAAGTGCCGAAGACTTAAAAAACAAGGTAAGGAGTTCGGGCGGGCGGGTGGGCCCTCCGGAGCACTGTACCGGAACGGTATCCAGTGCTACGGGCAGGCTCCAGTACGCCCGTACTAGGGCGTACTGCCTGCAATCCACCACTGGTTCAAGTTCATTCATAGTCATAGAAGCTGACTGAGTGATTTGGGGTCAGCCAATCTCTCTGTCAGTTTCACTTACCAAACAGGTTTGCTGTTATGGGGGGGGAAATGTAAAAAGAAATCTCCCTGTAAGTTAATTTGAATTCCTGGAGGACCAGTGGAATATAAACAGTGAGAATCTGCACAAGTAGTCCTTGATTTATGTCCATAATTGAGCCCAAAATTTCTATTGTTAAGTGACACATTTGTTCAGCGAATCTTTTACAACTTTGCTTGCAACTGTTGTGTGAATCGCTACGACTATTAAGTTAGTAACCCGGCTGGTAAGTGAACCTTGCTTCCCCACCGACATTGCACTGATTTTACAAAAGGGGATTATGTGAACCCGGGACACTGCATCCGTCATAAATATGAGTCAATTGCTAAGCATCTGAATGTTGATTATGTGACTATGGGGATGTTACAATGGCCGTCAGTATGAAAAATGGTCATAAATCCCTTTTTTCAGTACCAACTGAAAAAAACTTCAAACGGTCACTGAATGAACTGTTCTTAAGTCGAGGCCTACCTGTAGTAGCCAAGGTGCTGAACCAGGAGATTGCGAATTTGAGGCCTCCCTTGTGCATGAAAGTTGGCTGGGTGACTTTAGGCCAGTCACACACACACTCAGCCCAACTGCCTCACCAAATCGCGGCTGTGGAAAATAAGAGGCAGGAGAATTAGGTATGTTTGCATGCTGTGTAAAAGACCGTATTTTTCGGAGTATAAGACGCACTGGAGTATAAGACGCACTGAGGTTTTGAAGAGGCAAATTAAAAAAAAGTTTTTGTATTCTGCAAACCTCCCAAAAATGCCTCGTTTCCCGCTCCCCCGAAAAAGCCATGAATAGCCTTTAGAGGGCTTGCAAAATGCTCCTGGAGGGGGGCAAAAACAAGCAAAAACCAGCCGATTTTTTGCAAAAACTAGCCCGTTTTTCGTAAAAAGAAGGGCATGGATAGCCTTTAGGAAACTTAGAGTGCTCCTTGGAGCTGGGGGTGGGGGGTTAAATTGGCAAGAAACGGGCCGTTTTTTGCTCATTTCTGCCCTCCCCAGCTCCGAGTTCTCTAAAAGCTTCCTAGAGACTCCGTACCGCCATTTTGGTGAAGAGGGCGGGGTTGGTAGGCCAAAAATGCTGCATTCAGTGTATAAGACGCACCCAGATTTTCAGCCTCTTTTTTGAGGGAAAAAGGTGCGTCTTATATTCCAAAAAATACAGTATATAAAAACGTGGGATAAATATATAGTAATAACTCTAACAAACATAAGGTTCATTTAAGCTTTTAGTCCTACCTGACAACCTTATGCATTCCATACTAGGTTCCATCAGATGTGAGAAATGATACCTCAATGATGGCGAACCTTTTCAGCACCAAGTGCTCAAACCAGAACGTGCATGCCTGCATGCGCGCACACTGGAGCCCCTGAAACCCAAAGACCAGCTGGCCCATGCGCATGCATGCGCCAGCCAGCTGGTCTTCAGGTTTCCAGCACATGCATGCAAAGCCAGCTGGTCTTCATGTACGCTGGGCACTGGAAACCCGAAGACTAGCTGGCCAGTAGACGTATGCCTGTTTTTTGGGTGGCTTTGGCCACTTTTCAGGTTGTTTTGGGGGGCGTTTTTCAGGGCTCAGTGCCGACGAAGACCAACTGGCTGGGAAACCAGACCAACTGGCAACGGACGTGTGCCCACAGAGAGGGCTCTGTGTCCCACCTCTGGCATGCATGCTATAGGTTTGCCATCCCAGTCTGTGATAATGTGTGTGTAACCCAGTGGTGGGTTCCGGATCCCGGTGCAACCAGTACGGTGTAATGGGGCCCGGTGTCCACTACATGAACGCTCGCAGTGCATGCATGTGTCCTACTCTCAAGCGACGCCTCCGCAATGCTCCAGCTGCTTGGCGGAGGGTTACGCAGGCACCGTACGTGCATGCGCGTGTCGTGGAAGTGCTGAAGAGTTCAAATACAGGTAAGGATGCTGGATGGGCAAGTGGGCCCTCCGGTGTACCGTACTGGAACGGTATCCGGTGCTCCGGGCAGGCACCGGTACGCTCGTACCGGGGTGTACCCCCTGCAACCCACTACTGGTGTAACCAGTGATAAAAGGTTATGCATGTTAATATTACTGTAGTTTCTCTTTCTGTATCTCTGAATAGCTTTTGTTGTTTCAGATCTTGAATGGAAGTTGGCAGAATTTGGTGCTGTAAAAACGGATTTAGAAGAAAACCCCAGGAAAGGTATTAGGGACATGATGATGTCCTCACTTCGAAAGGCTTCTATAGATGATAACTAGAGTATGAAGAGACAAATGCTACTGTAAATATATGTGGTCAAATTCGTCTGCAATTGTATCATCTGCTGTACTGTCAACGCTCAAATATTATAAATGCTTTTTGCTCCCATCCAGGATTGGGTGTCTACCCTCATTCTACTCTTGGATGAACAAATATTCTTATGTTTGCCAGCTGGATTTTACTCTTATAAGATTGTTTAGCACTGTAGCCTGTTTGTCAACAACTGCATTTTAAAGTCGTGAAAAATACAGGCGATCTTTCGTTTTAAAGTCTTAATGTCGTGCTTTCTCCAAGATCTTTTTTAAAAAAACGAAATACTTACTGTAATTTGTTAAATATCTTGGTACAGGCATATAGAAATATCAAATATCAATGATAAAATCAGTGGTAGTAAAAAAAAAATCTACTACCGGTTCTGTGGGTGTGGCATGGCTTGGTGGGCGTGGCTTGGTGGGCATGGTAGGGGAAGGATACTGTAAAATCTCCATTCCCTCCCCACTCCAGGGGAAGGATACTGTAAAATGTTCATTTCCTCCTGATCAGCTGGGACTTGGGAGGCAGAGAATAGATAGCGGTGGGGCCAGTCAGAGGTGGTATTTACTGGTTCTCTGAACTAGTCCAAAGTGTTTTTCGCCCTCCCCGAGCCTCCGTGCGGGCCAGAGGTGGATTCCTACCAGTTCGCACCTATTCGGTAGAACTGGTTCGTCAAATCTACCGAAACGGTTAGAAGAGGTTCCACCAGTGTTCCGTTAAGCAGGCCACTCCTACAGAAGAGCTTCCAAAATTTTTTGAAACCCCCCACTGGTGTGGGCCCTGTACTTATCTGGCATCTCAAATGGGTCATGTGGAGACTCCTGGGAGGGGTGGGATGGGATGACCAGCCAGGGGTGGGCTTTACGGGTTCGCCAAATGAGCAGATCCTTAGCTAGAGGATTGCCCAAACCCATGCGAACCCGCA